GGTTGGACTCCATCTTAAAGGTATTTTCCAGCCTAAACGATTCCATGATTCTATTTTATGATGGAAGGAGATGAGCAGGAGAGGGGGGAAACCTCAGCAGCCACGGCTTGGGGACATCCTGGTCCAGATGGTTTTGGGGATGAGATGCAGCTCCCACCTCATGCAGTGAGTGCCAGAGCCCCTCCGTGGCTGCAGGGTCCGGCCGCCAGCCCGGGGCAAGGTGCTGTGCTCTGAGTTAGACCAACACTGGACAAGGGGATTGTGTTAGAGCCTTGGCTGGGGTGTAAAGGGCTGAGCGTCAGCCCCCAGAGCAGCAACAGCCTCAGATTGCTGAGGACAGGTCTCTGTAGCCGTGTGTATCACGATCCTCATTTCCTTGAGGACTTCTGGGAGCCTGCAGCCAGGGCTGGGAGTAGCAGGCAAGATCATGATAGACCACAGTTTTCCCCTCCAGCTGCTGGTCTGCCCTCTCATGGTGCTTCTGCAGAGACGGGGGCTGAGAATGTGCTGAGGGGTTGTGCAAGTGGGAAATCCCAAGGTTTGGCTCTGTGCTTTCTCTAGGATTGGAGGAGATCCTACCAAAGCCTGTTCAGGACACAGGGAACATTTTGAAGCAAGGATATCTGGAGAAGAGGTCCCGAGGTAAGGCCTGACAAGTACATCATCAGGTTTGGGGATGTCACCCCAGAATTACCAAGAATACAAATTTGCAGATGAAGAACAGACAGGAAAACTCATCTTTTCTGCAGCTTTGTCGGTGGGAACATGCAGAACCTTTCAGGCATCATACACACAGAGGCCACAGCCTTTATTTATTCTCCTTTGCAGATCATCAAACTGCACAAAGATTAAAACCCAGAAATTGAATTAAGCAGCAGTCCAGTCCTCTAAGGCAAGATGTGCCCTTCTAACGAGCAATAGCTAATGAGGATAAAATCCCGGTGAAGACAAGGTAGTTCGTAGCATCACACACATTAGCAAGTCGAGATAAGGACTGTGAGTCAGCCTCTGGTTTATCTTGATTTTACTGACTCTTGTGAAAGCTACAAATTATTTCCTCATCACTCAGATTTTATCTTGATTTATTTACTGTATGACAGGTGGTAGGAGGCAAGAACAGCCCTTATTTTTCCTCATGGCCATCAGCTGAGCTGTAATACCGGCCCTGTGCATGTTTTACCTTGCTCCAATTACAGAGTAAAAGACATTTGCTTAAATTTCAATTAGAGGGGTTTAACCTAAAGCTGTGTTGCCTCCGGGTTAGCAGGACTAAGGGTTACAGCAGCGCAGCTCAGCGAGCTGCAGGTTTGCAGGGGCTCCAGCCTGGGTTCTCCCTTGGTTGAAGTTTTGTATTTAAGTTTGCTTTGCCTGAAGTTTGTGCCAAAAATCTGCATGGTTTTGTTGGGAAAAGATTCTTCTTTCTTTTTTTTCTTCACCTGAAGCATACAGTGATAGAGCAGAAGCTAACATTTTTTGTTCTTTTGCTGTCCTTTTCTTTCCAGAGCACAGCTTTTTCGGGTCAGAGTGGCAGAGGCGGTGGTGTGTCCTCAACAGAAGGGCGTTTTACTACTACGCCAATGAGAAAAGTAAGTGGTGAGATCCCAAACTGTGGGTGGTGGCTGAGGGCATGGACAAGGCTGGAAAAGAGGAGGGGAGAGTCCTTGCTGGAGGGCAGGCTAATGTCAGACAAGAGACAAGCATCTACCATGGGAAGGTTGGGATTCTCTATCAAGGCATAAAATGCAGGTTCTCCTGCTCTCAGCTTGCTTGGTTTTTCCCCCAGAACACCTTTATAGGTGTGGAATGAGAGAAGAGAGACAGAGGAGCAGAGCTGTGTGTAAATAAAATGATGTACCACGTTTTCCATTAGCCATCAGCTGGGTTTCAACCCCCTAAGTGACTGTATATAACCCACGTGTCGGTGTATAGAAATGTTTTGCAGTCATGCTCCACCGGGTACATATAAACAGACAGCTAATATCTCCAACAGAGTTTGGCATGATTAGAGAGATGGTCTTTCTCTGTTCTACCCATCCAGAAACACGGCATCCTAGCAGTTCACAACCTACACAAGTACATCCTTGATTTACAGTGCCCAAATCTGAAGTTAGGACAGGATTAAACTCCAGTGGATCCTGGGGATGAAGCCGTGTCTGTGTCCTTCTTCCACATCCTTTGTCCAAGGATCTTGAGCACTTTTGGTTTCCCATCAAGCTTCCCAACTCCTCTCACCCTGGCAGGGCTATGAGCTGCTCGGGCTTTGCCAGCAGCGGTAGGTGTGGAAGCCAAGGGCTGATATTTGGTTGTTTCTGCGGGGGATGAGCAGTTATCCTCTTCCAAATGGTCTCCAGAAAACACCAGAGTAAAGCAAACCTGTTATCAATGGGCTGAAATCCTTATATAGGGCTTGAGCTCACCCCTGGAAGTTTTCTAAGGATCTGCAAATCAAACAAAGATTAAGAGCATCTGCCTGAATCGTATTCCTGCACTTCTTCAGGAAGATTCATAAGGACATAATGAGCTGGGGTAAATAAAGGTGCCTCAGATGACTGCAGTGGCGTTCCCTCTCTCCACCCTGCCTGACACCAGCCGTGCGTGTGCATCGGCAAGATCTGTAGGCCAATTCTCAGAGGCCCCACTAAGTATTTCTTCCTGTACGCCGGCCCGTTAATTCCTTACCAGCAGAATAATCATCGTATCGTATTTCCCCAAGTACGCAGTGGTCTCTGCTTCATTACAACCAGCTCGTCTCATGCAACCCTCTGACCCCGGCAACCTTCCGCTGGCTGCTCGCAATCTCTTGAGGTTTAAAAGGGCGTCCTCTTTGCTGTGTCTTCATGAAGGTTTTATAATATTCCCTGTGGGAATGGACATGTTTAGGCTGAAGGGGTTTTTCTGGCTGTTTCCCATTGGCACATGGTGTACCCCAGTTTCCCTGTGTGGGTAACAGACCCCTGCACCACCCAGCAGTGCTGCAAGCTTGATGAAAAGATGCAAATTCCAGATTTAGCCTGTTTCTCTTCTTCCAGGCAAGCAACCTAAAGGCACCTTCTCCATTGAGCACTATAGCGCCCGCCTGGCTTTCCATCTCCGCAAAGACTCTCGGAGAAGATGCTGTTTTGAGTTAATCTGCCCTGGCAAACGCACCTACGAGGTAGGAACTGTGGGAAGAAGTGAACCTGCTATGCTGGTTTGAGCACAGAAGCACAAGCTCCCAGATCCGGGGTGCAGGCTGGACCTGCAGGGTTAGGGAGGCTGTAAATCCTCACCCCCCCAGTAAAACAAACCAAGCAGCACTGCAGAAGGTGCTGGTGCCTCTCCTTCTTGGCAGGTCATCTCGGCATGGACCTTCCCTTGGCACAAGAGTGATGCTGGGCTCTCTTAGCACTTGGGGGGCACAAGGATTACGTGTGAACGTGGGTTAGAAGCCGTAGACGATTGGGTTTGGGATGCTCATTTGTAAGTATGCAGTTCAGAGCCAGGTTAAATTTAAACCTTCAATCTGTGGAGCATCCAGTGGGGAGCCTAAAAACTGGTGTAGTGAAAAAACCTGGCCAAATCTCCAAAATGTGCATGAGAGCCTTCCTGAGCTTCAGGGAGACGTTGGATGACGAGTCTTGGTTCAGAGTGAGTATAGTATATTCAGTGGGGATTGTGGTTTCCATCTGAATTATTTTAATGAATTAGGCTTGACAGCCTTCCTCTGGGATAGTCTAGCTTTGTTCCGCTTCTGTTTTCCCTGTTTGGAATAGGGAATATAGATAAAGTAGTGAAATGGCTTTCCCAAAGTCACAGGGTAGAGAATAGCAGATCCAAGATCTCCATCCCCTGTTCTAGCTGCAAATCTTTTTCCTCTTCCCGCATACTAGAACCAGCATAATAACAGGTTGGCTTCTCTCCAGTTCACAGCCCCAAGCCCAGCAGAGGCTGAAGACTGGGTGGATCAGATCCAGTTCCTCTTGAAAGGTGAGTCTGGGAGCTTGGTCCAAGCCAGCGCGTGCCCTGTTTGTTTGGGCAGATCCTGGCAGCATCTTCTCACCCAGCTTGGGCTGCTCCCTCCAGCAACGGGTGGGCTTGTGCTCACCGCCAAGAGCTTGCTGGGGTCCCAGCACCCCCTCTTAGCAACAAGAGAGCTTCTTGGGCTTTGATCTTTTGAGCAGTTTGTTGAAAAGAAGTGGTGATTTGGAACCCACAGGCATTTGGTTTCAACTCAAAAGCTTTTGGCTGCTTTTTAGAGGATGGAGTTGTGTGATCTCCCAAAAGCTCCAGGTGTCACCAAGTGGGACAGAAAAAGGGTGAGAAGCGCTGCTCACTGTTGGGGTTGCAGATCTGCTCTTCTCTCCTCAGCTGGGGAAGGATGGGGTTTGGCTTCACTGGAGTTGCTCCAGTTTCAGACCAGCAATGCTGAGACAAAACTCCAGCCCCCTGTGTGGAAACCCACAGGAAGCTGCCCAGGAATGGGGTCAGGCTCAGTTCCTTGAGGCACTTGTTGAATTTAGCTTTGTTCGGTGGGATTTGCCACCCTTTCTTGAGCTTTTCCTTTGTTTTAGCCTATTCTCAGCTTCCATCACATTTTCTTTACACCAGGTGCTCATGGGCCAAGCAAGGGGACGGGTCACTCCCTGCAAGGCCCATAGTGAGCACAAAGTACAGTGGCACAGGCTCTGTTGCTTGATTTCAACTCGCTGAAAGTGAGTTCTTTGCTCTTTTCAAAGAAGATTTGCTCTTTTTCACCATGCTTTTGCTCTCCCCTGCCAGACCTGAGCTCACTGACTATCCCATGTGACGAGGAGGATGAAGAGGAGCCCTACAACGACGTGGACAGTTCTGACTCTGTGAACACAGCATCCCACAATACTACCCTGAATCAGGATGAGCCAAACACTGAGATGGAAGAGGATGACATCTACGAGGTTTTACCAGGTAAGCAGGTTAAAGCCCGAGCCATCCCCGAACCTCAGCCCTGCAAACATGGCAGGAGACCTTGGCCGCATCACACATCGGTGGGAATGAACATCTAGGGCTCTGCTGAATTTTACAGACCCACAACTCCAAGGTTTCACCCCGTTTCTTTGTTCAGACTAGTTGATGAACCACAAGAGCACATGCTTTCTGTTCTGGTGAGGTGGATGATTTGTAAATTCAGGTGGGGCAGCTTTTAGAGGTTCAGCTTGAGTAATATTAAGTTTGGTGAGAGTGGAATCTCTGGGCTGTGTTACCTGGAAAATCAGACTTTAGATGATGAAAATGCTCCCTTCTGGGCATGCAGTCATGGCCGTAACACAATTACTGGCCTTCCAAGAGATGATAAAATAACCACATTAAAGACTAGGGCTTGTTCACTAACAGTGCACGAGGCCTGGAGGTAGCAGGGCAGCGGCTGCCGGTTAAAGGAGCCAGGAGCAATCTTCCTGGCACAGAACCAAACAGCCTGCGAGGGTGACACGGTCTGTAACGTTTCTTACCGTTACAGCAGAAATCATGGTGTGATGTGCCCCAGGGCTTGGTCAACGGGTCACGTGAGCCTTATTCAAACCCGTGTGTTATTCTGGGATCAGCCAGCTCTGCTCCCCATCCCCGAGAGTGGGGTCCCGTGGTGTCTGTGTTCGAGATGCAAAATAGGTTCTTGTTTCTTCTTATTTATTTCAGAACTTTATATTTGTAGTGATTAAAAAAAAATATTAAATGCACCAGAAAGTTTTATGGTGCCTGAGATCTTTGTCTTGTTATTGCTGCCAAAGGAAATCTCTGCTCAGCAGTTTGCAAGTGGCATCCAGAAAGTTGCCGGGAGCGGAGCTGGGGCTCCGGGGCTCCCTGCACAACCCTGAGCAGGGCCTCAGCCTCTGTCCATCTCTCATCCTTCCTTCCTGACCTTCCCCTTTCGCTGTTTACATCCTCAGCTCTTTGGGGCGGCAGCTTTATCTTCCTCCAGGCATCTCCGAGCTCAGCAGCAGCCTCAGCGCAGGGGTCCCCGAGCTGGGGTGAGGGAAGGGCTGATGGTCTGTCACGCCAAGGGCTTTCAGCGTCCCCGGCTGCTTCGGCAGCTGTGCCTGACTCCTCACTGCCAACACCGACTACGGAGCAGACATTAGACGTGAGGATTGTTCCACACGTGGCTAATGGTGATGCTGCATGGAGCTTGTGCAGTGTTGATTTAGGGACAGACCCCGCTGTTGCTGGGATGCAGCATCTCGAAAGAGCTGGAGCCCACCCTGCCAGCCAGGCTCACCCCTGGTTCCCATGGATGTTGCTCTGCTGCTGTCACACACGGATCGGTGCCCTGATGCTGGGGGTGCAGAGCATCAGGGTAGAGGAGGGAACATGCCAGACAAACCCTTCCTTTAATTATGGGCTTTTACCATCCCCTTTGTCCTGCCCATCCCATTTTCCTAAAAGCTTCCAAAGAGGGGCCTGAAGCAGCCCAAAGGGTTGTGTCTCTGGCTGCTCGCCAGCCCAGACCCTGCAAGCAGCGGGGTTGAAACCCCTTGCTTTAGCAGTATCCTTCATCCCGAGTGCACGGGCATCCCAGGGGCTTTGTCCCTGAGGTTCAGCCCAGCCTCCGGCATGCAGCATCACTGTTGCACCGAGCCAGTGTAGGCAGGAGCTGCCTCTGCCTGCATCTCCCCTGCTCTCCGGCCATCGAGCCTCCTGCCTGTGCCCCACGGCTGGAATCGCAGTGACACACAGGGACGCAGCTCGGACGCCGTGCAGGATGCTGCCAGCGGGAAGCAAAGCCACAGCTCTCCCCTCCTGCATGCCCCCATTCCCTGCCAGGTTGAAGGTAGGTGGTGGGGGCACCTTGCTGTAGAGGCAGGTGCCCAGCTGAGTGGTGAGAAACCAGGCACAGGGCTCTGGGACAGGTAGGAGAGGTCTGCTCTCCCCCGAGCTCGTCCCCCTGGCCTTTGCATCCCTGGGACCCCCTGCCAGTGCAGGGAAAGTCCTGTCCAAGCTGGAGTCTCCTCTGGGCCTGCTGCCTCCCTCATGTCCCGAGTGAAAATAGAGAGAAAGAGCATGAGGGGAAAAAAAGAAAGGGGGGAGATGAAGAGATAATTTCCTCAGCAAGTCATCGTTGTTAATGAAGTTTTACAAAAACAGATACAACCAAGGAAAAATAAAATTTCACAGGTGATAAATTTTTCCAATTTCCCTGGCAGAATTCGATAGGATTGTTAAATTAAGAGTGAAGGTGTCTGTTAGGAAGCAACGAGCAGTGATGGGTAATTTTATAGAGTGGAAAATTGAATCAAATTGCTACATTAAAACACAGCTCCTCTGAGAATCTGCCCAATGCCCAGGCTGCTCCGGTGCGGCGGTGGGGTGCACGGCTCCCCGGCCATGCCCGGAGCTGGGGGCTGCCGTGCGGCTCTGGACCCCCGGTGTGGGTGCTCCGGGCTGCCCACGGGGTTGTGAAGGAGCTTCTCAAGGGTGGTGTGGCCAAGGCTGCGGTGCAGGGAGGTGGCATGGTGGGAGCAGCATAGCCCCCAGCAGATGCATTTTTCAGCATTTCCCTCTGATTCATTGCTATAAAATCCAGATATTGGCTGAGATCAAGCACCCAGGCCCTGGGAAGGCAGAGCAGCACTTCCAGGCTTTACTCCGAAAAGCACCCGGATGCAACAGGCTGCCGGGATGCGGCGTTGAGGGGAGGGTCTCGTGTCCCCATGGGTGTCATTCAGGAGTCGCACAGCTTGAAATCTGCAGAAGCGTGGCCTGGGGCCAGCGTGCCGCAGCACAAGCCGTGGTGCAGACAGGGCTCAGCAGCGGTGCAGGATTAGTGCCTTCACAGCCGTCCCGGCGTGTCTGTGCCCATGCTGTGAGCAGGGAAAGGCTGTGCTGGCCGTGCTGCAGCGCTGGGGGAGAGGATGAGGTGCAGGAGGGCAAGAGGAGGGGAAGCCACATCTTCTACTTGCCTCCCCACCATGTTTTCCTGAGAAAAATCCCATGGGAGGTCTTCTCTTCCTTCCTCAAAGCCTTCATCCGTCACAGCTCTTGCAACCTCAAGGGGAAACTGAGGCACAGAGGACTGAAACCCAGGAGAGCACCTTGTCCAGGTGTGAAGCAGTCAGCTGCCCAGCTCAGGTGGGCGTTGCAGATGGGGAGGGGGTCCATGGCTTTGGTTTCTGGTTACAACGTGCCCCATTCCATCAAATAGGGAATTAAATGGTCCAAGGTAGGACAAGGAGAGGCGGCTGCTCTGGAAAGCCTCCTCGGCCCCTGCCGGGCAGCCTCACATGGCTCCTGGAGAGCAGAGGTGTGGGGGAGCAGCAGCTCTCTATGGGGCGAGGGACCCACAATGTTGCCGGAGCTCGTTAGGGGCTGTAAATGTGACTCCCCATTAGCTGTGCCAGCAAAGTGGACCAGCTCTGCAGTCTAGGGGCGGCTCCCAGGAAAGCAGGGAGGAAGCAGGATAGACATATCTCCCCAGAATCATCAGGCACCCACAGCTGCCCAGCACCACGTCCGGGCAGGGAAACGGCTTTCCAACCCCGTCCTCATGTGGGATTCATGCAGCTTTGCTCATCTGGGAAACCCACTGCGAGGGTTTCCTCCGTGGCACGTGTTTTCCTGCGCCAGCGCCGGCTGACGCTTCCCGAGGAGCATGTCTGTGTGCCAGGAGGTGCGGGAAGGGCTCTGGGAAGAGGTTTCCTGAGGACAGCCTGGATCCAGGATGAGCGAGCCTGAGCGGACAGGAGGAGGGGGTGGCTGTGGGGAGGCCCTGGGTGCAGAGGTCACCCGGGGTGGTGAGGGAACGATGCTGCCCCGCTTTGGAGGGTGGCTCTGGGGGTTTCGTGGCATGGGGGCTGGTTTGACTGCCCTCTGTCTCACACCGAGACGGGATCAGGGGATTTGGTGCCAATGGTTACAGTACACAGGAATCCGGATGCGAGGGTTTGGGGCGCATGTGTGGCCATGGGGGGGGAGAGCGCTGTTACCTATAGGTTTACTTTCTCCTTTACAAATGCAAAGAGCAGGCAAAAGCCACTTTCAATAATTTATTTTAAAATCAATGCTAATGAGGTTCCGTCTCGTCAGTGGCCGAGTTTTACAATAAAGTCTGATTTATTTAGAAAAGATCCTTGGTGCCGCTTCCCGTCTAATGGGGGAGCAGCTGTGGTGACCCTCCAACTTGGGATGCCATTTGGGATTGGCAGCGGAGTTCTGACCTGGTTTGCATTGATCAGCGCCGGGCGGGAGAGCGGCTGGGGACGCGTCCTCGGAAAGCGCCGGGCAGCAGCAGCACGTCACCGCCCTGCAATCAGGGGGCCACGGGCTCAGCAAAACCCAGGCTCGGTTCCTGTTGGCTCTGCCTAAAGGTGACGGTAGAGTCACGTCCCCCAAGATGCGACACGCGCACCTCTTCTGCACCGGGCTCCCCAGCAGCGGTGCAGGAAGTGGACAAGCGATTTCCCCGAGCGTTGGCTTTCTGGAATGCTTTGGAATTGGGGCTTATTTATATGATTTTATTAGGTCACTTCTCGTCTTTGTGGTTGCAGGAGGAAGCTTGGGCTGTGATGGCAGGTAATGTGGGTGCTGTGCACCCGCCTTGCCCAGCACCCAGAGCAGCTCGGGCTGGGCTGTACCTGGCTTGGTGTTAAATAATCTTATTTAAACTTCTTTGTGTCCAGATCCTTGTTCCCGTCAGCCACCAGCCATTTTCACAGGGCTTCCCTGTGACCTCCAGCCTCTCTTTCCTTAACCTTTTCCATGGTATTTCTTATTATTTTCTTGCCTCCTCTTTCCTCATCCTCCATAGCCATCCCAGCCTGCCTGCGGTCCTCTTTCTCCTTAATTTCTGCTTCTGTCCGCAACCCTTCCTCGCATTTCTGTTCCGGCATTTCTCCTCAGCGTCTCCTGTTCTCCGGGCTGCGAGTCCTGCACAGGAAGCATCTCTTCCTACAGGGCATCGGCAAAGTGCTGCCTAAATTTATGAGGCTGTAAGAAGTGATTTGTTTTTACCAGTGTTAACAACAATTCATATTTTTTATACACCACATTTTAAAATATTATCTGTGACTTCCTCCCTTCCACTCTTCACAATTAAGCCAGGAATTTATTATTCTGACAGTCGGATGCTCTTGCAGCCCTCTGCCTGCCTGGTGGTTTGGTGCAGCAGTAGCACAGCCCTTCCCCTGACTTCTCTGCTCTGTTTTCCCCCCAGATGAGGAGCTGGACCCCCCCTTCCCAGAGGACAGTGAGGGTGCCAGGAGCAGACAGAGAAGCGGTAAGAGCCCGCCCGACTTTGGCCAACCCAAAGGACCCCCAGGTCATGGCTGGGGGGGTCTGAGTCCAGCCACCTTTGTGTGTCCTGGGGTGTGGAGGGTGACGGAAGGGTGTGGAGGATGGGAGAGGCCGCGAGAGCAGACTGATGGGTGACAGAGGGGGCTCTCCAGCGGGTGATGTTCAGGTAACTCAGGGAGCTCTCCCCATCTTCTCCATGCTGTGGGCGTGGGGGATGCCTCCCCATTTTGGACAGGCACCCCTTGGGGGTTGGCCTTAGTGAGCTCTCCACGGAGGAGCCCCCCCCTCCTGCCTGATGAGATCTGTGTGCTGAAGGATGTCCCATGGAGGCACTCCTGTCCCTCATCCCATCCTGGACCAGAGCCGAGCAGCAGGCACGCCAGGGAGAGGGACCCAGCCCTCCCGGCACATCCCAAGGGGCCGGGGAGAGGAGCTGGGGCAGAAACAACCTGGAGAGAGGGCAGGAAGCGACTCATGGCCCAGAGGAAGCTGCCGCAGGGAGGGATCTCAGCGCGGGAAGCCGGAAGGACGCGCACCACTACCCCAGGAACCAGCACCACCCGCCCAGAGCCAGCAGCCCAGGAGCTGGCCACAGTGGCCAGGGCCTCCACCCCTGCTTTTTCCTTAAGGACCCGCACTGTGGGATGGGAGCGGAAGATCTGTTTCCTCCCCGGTCCCACCTGCTTCGCTTTCCATCGCCGCTTCCGCCCCGGTGCAGGAAAGCAGTGCTTGTGTCTGAGCAGCTGGACATGGACCAGCCAGGGGCTTCCTGCCGCCCCGCTAGCTCCTTGCTGCATGGGAAAACACATCCTCCTGGCAAAGTCCGGCTCGGGAGACCTTCCCACATCATCCTCCCGCTCCAGAGCTTGGAGGGGACAGTCTCATGCTGCTGGTGCTCAGATCACGGGTGCCTGCCCAGCTGGGGACCCCCGCAGCAGGTATCCAGCTTGTTGGGTGATGGAGACCGGAGGGGTTCGGTGTTGATGCTGTGGGTGGCTAAACTGGCCTCGTGCCTGCTTGTGCTCTCTAGAATGCACGAGCAGCCCAAGCAGTGCTCAGCTGGCTTACCTCTCCCAGGGATCAGAGAACCCCTGTCCCCAACTTCCCGGTGTTCCCTGAAAGCCTGATGCAACTTTAGTCGACATCAACCCCCTTGGATGTCTCTTGGGCAGTTGGCCCCAGCCCAGGAGCGTGCTCAGGCCTCTTTCTACTGAAATCTCAGTAACACAGACAGGGTTGAGTCCCAGCAGTTTGCAGAGACTGGAGCAACTCGGCGTTCCTCCACTCCTTGGGGCTTTGTGGAGTTCATTTCCCACCCCCCAACACAATGACTTATTTGGCCACTGGAGCTGGCTGCAGCCGGTACCAGCACCCAGAGCTCAGAAAAAACGACATCCCAAGCTTTATAAACCGTAGTGTGGCCCTAACGCGGGGCTGCATATTTGTTCATGGGATGCCTCGGCACGGGGCGAGGAAAGCAGAAGGTGATGGGATGTGCGTGCGCACACACACGTTTTCCTCCGCCTTTCCCAACTGCCCCAACATGTAAACATCCAAAGGAGCAGGCGGCGGAAAAGCAGCTCCCCCGTGGGTTTTCCAGCTCGAGGTGGGGATCAGAGCGTAGCTTTGTGGCAGGCTGGTGCCAGGGGTGATGATGAACCTGCACCCCAAGGCTGCCCCCAGGATTTTGGCTCTCTCCTGTCACAGCCCTGCCAGCCATTTAAACACCCTGCTCGTACTCATTAGCATCTGCCCGGCGGTTGTAATTGTTGTTAATGGTTATAACTGGTTTAGTTATTAGCATTGTCATGATTGCTTTAAGTCCTGTGTCTGTTTTTACACTAAATCATACATTAAGCTCGTGCTTCTGAAAAGCTGGGCTGCATTTCAAGTGGGAAAGGTTATTGCCGTGCCGGGAACCCCGGCCCTCGCGCCTTTTGCCTTGGCAATTTGTGCTTCTGTCCAACTGGACCAAGGGTGAGAAAGAGATGACGAAAGTCCTTGAGCAGAGGGCTGGGCTGCAGGGAGGGAGGGAAGGGGCTAGTTCTTAATTATATCGCACAGCCCAAGTGCCAGATGAGCATTTGGCTAATGGAAAACTATTGTTTCTAATTTCTAAGAACCACAAGGATGCCACGATGCTGGAGCAGCCCAACAAATCCAGCTGAGAGCTGCAGGCTGCTCCTGCCAAGACACCCATTTGCTCCGCTCAAGGCGGCTTAATCCCTGCCTTCTGCGCCGGATGGGCTTCGGGGCTGCTGCTGCAGCGTGAGTGTATTAGTCACATACAAACCGAGCAGAATTCCTCCGCTCAGAAAACACGAAAAGCCTCACAGCCTGCCTCCTGTCACAGTCCCCTGCGCTCGGCGCGGCAGGAGGTTTCACCTAGCGTGAGCGCAGCAGCGCAAACCCCTGAGCTGCAGACGGTTGTCATTAGGTTTCAGCATCAACAGGCGTCTGAAGCAACACGCCCAAAGCAAAGGGGTTGGGGCAGACTGTGCCTCTCCCACAGCCCCTGCTTGGGGCTGCTCAGGCTGCAGAAGAAAATGATGCAGTTGTCACATTTGGCTGGTTCTCTTAATGACCCCAAGGCCCATAAACATGGGAGCAGGCTCTCGTCCCACTTACATCAGTGTAAATCAGTCGCGCTGAAATCACGGCTCTGCCCTGAACGCAGGTTTAAATGTCTAGACGCGGCACTGGGGCTTTGTAAACAAAACCTCTTCTTTATAAAAGGCGGCAGAATTAATGCAGGAGTCCTGGGGTGGCTTGTTTGGATCCAACCCACATCCCACCCAGCCCGGAGCTGGCAGGTCGGGAGGATCACGGACATTAACCGTCCCACGTGGAGGCTGCAAAGGGAAGTTCTCCCTTGCCTGGCCTTACCTTTGAGTGCTAAAAAAAGAGCCAGGATCCCTTTTCTGCAAATGGTCTTAATTTTAGCAAGACATTCTCGGTAGCTGGCACAAACATCTCTGTAGCTTTTGAAGCTGCGGCTGGGAACGAAGCGCAGAGCCCAACGTGCTTTGATCGTGAGACATCTCCCTCGTCTGCTGTATTAATTCTGACCTTTTGAAGGCAGGGTTGGAGGGAGGGGTGAGACCTTCCATCTGAGCAGCTGACATAGCTGGAAAAACATACACGAGCTCTTGGGAGCACAAACCTTCCTGTGGGCTGGAAATTTGTCTGCCTTTATACTCGCAGGGCATCATGTCCAGGCTTCTGCAAAGTCTCTGTGCACCAGTGGCTTCTCCTTTCTCCGCACCTTGACAGGGTGACAAGATGCCTCCGAGGTCCTCCTGTTCCTCGGAGAAGCAGGAAGGAGCAGATGTGGGATAGGGAGGCACCTCCCAAGCGTTCCTGGTAAATGAGGGACAAGGCTGACTCCAGCTTCCAGGCACCATCCTCCCTGGGGGCCAGCAGACACCCGGGTCCCTGTCCTGGGGGAGCTTGGGGGGAGAAATGGGCACTTTCAGCTCTGGAAATGACCTGTAGGAGTATGTATTTTCTATCTCAACCCCAACCCCCTTCCCCTCCCAGTACATCAGTGACACCGCAGAACCCTGAGGAGGAGCAGATTTGGGGTGTCGCTGTGTTTAAATCTCTTCAGCATCTTTAATTCTCATCAGCATCTACGCTGATGCTCCATAGAATTACTGGTATTTTCGGTACCCCTGGAGCAGCCTTTCCCCAACCTCATCGCACACGGGATGTCAGCAGCTCCGTGCCAGGCACCATCCCCCTCTACCGGGTTATTCTCTGGATGGTGATGTTGTCCTCACACCCTCCCCTAACGACCTCTTGTGTTAATTACACAATTTGCCGGCTCCTACCAAAGCTGCTGCTTGCCTCGTCCTCCTGCCCAGCACCCGCACGCCCTGATATTTCCTCTGCCTCCAGTTCATAACCCCTGCTTCCTGCACTTAGCACAAGCTTAAATAACTCAGTAGCTCCTACTCCTTCTATTCCCTTCACAATCTTCTCCTCACCACTGTGTGCTCCCCCTTTAATACTTTCCAAAGGATGCAGACCTACTTCTTTTTTTTCCCAGCCTTTCTATTTAAGTTCCCCAAGTCCCTGAGTCATTCCAGTTGCTCCCTGCTGTGCCATTATCCATCTCTGTAATGTCCTTTTTCATATTTAGGTGATCAAATCTGGGCACAGCACTCCAGATGCACCCTTATCGCTCGGTCCCTTATACCATATTACAAACATTTCCTCCAACATGTGCTCCATAGTTTCTATTTATGCTTCCTGGGCTGGGTTCAGCCGCACAGATCGCTGGTACAGCCCCGCTGCTCGAATCCCTCCCCCTGCGGAATGTGGTTTTACTGGGTTTAATTATCCAAGGGGGTCACATCATGGAGATGTCCGTGGCGTGACATCTGGATTCACCCCCACTTCGGTGCTGTGCCATCAGAGCAGCCACCTGCCTCAAGCCTTTGGTCTGGGAGCGTGTTTTAAGTTACCTGGTGTGCTTGAAAACTGGGAATCTGGAGGGTTTGGGGTCATTTTCTGATGCTGGGAAGGATCCGTCGGATGTGCTGGGACAAGTCACTTCTCCAGTCTGCAAATGGGGCAGAGGAGCGTCTCCACCAGTCGTGGGGATCTGCAAACCCTCGGCATTGGGCTCGTCTGGTCCCATCGCAGGGCGGGATGCTTCCCTGCAGCGGAAAGGACCTTTCCTGGTGGCTCTGGTCTCTGGGCCAGTTTCTGGAGTGGGAAATGCCGTTCTGAGAAGGCAAAGATGGAAATGTTTTGTTCTGGAAATGCTGCTGTGACTTTTTCCGGAAAGCCCACTCAGGCCTTTAGCCCAGGGCGGTCCCCAGCCTCAGCACCATTTGCCAGCGGCCTCGTCGGCCCCAGCCCGCGGCTTTCAGCTGACAGATCGTTGGCCTCTCCAAAAAAAAGAGAGGGGAGGGGAGGACTTTGCTGGCTCATGTTCCCTTCCCTTTCCACAGCAGAGTGTGATCACAGGCGTTGAGCAAAGGCTCTGCCATCCCAAACTCGCAGCTCGATGGGAAGATCAAGACCTGAGCTATTGGGTTGTATCGTGCCATGGAAGGTTTGGGACCTTGGGGACAAGGCTCCAGGGAGAACTTAGAGCCCCTTCCAGTGCCTGGGGGGCTACAAGGAAGCTGTGAGGGACTGTTTCCAAGGGCAGGGAGTGACAGGACAAGGGGTAACAGGTTTAAACGGAAAGAGGGAGATGGAAATGGGACATCAGGAAGGAATTCTTCCCGCAGAGGGTGGGGAGCACTGGGACAGGTTGCCCAGAGAAGCTGTGGATGCCCCATCCCTAGGAGTGTCCAAGGCCAGGCTGGATGAGGCTTGGAGCAACCTGGTCTAGTGGAAGGTGTCTCTGCCCATGGCAGGGGTGGGACTGGGTGGGCATTAAGGTCCCTTCAGCCCAAACCTTCCTGTGATTCTGTGGTTCTATGACCTTCGCTGAGCCCCTGGAATGCAGGATGAAGACAGATGTTTGCTCCCTGCTCCCCTCCCATCCCTGTTCCTGCTCCAAGCCTTCCCGGTCAAGCAGTCGGTGCTGTTCTCTTGCTGAGGGTGCCCTGCTCCATTGGCCGTGATCCCCTGCTCGGCTTCTTTAATTAATAAATTTGGCTGCCACCTTCCCCAGCAGCATTGTCACGAGGCCCCCAGCCCCTCCCATAGCTTCTGGCTGTCACCGTGGTGGGAACACAGCCCAGCAGAGCTGGGGCTGGTGCCACGTGTCCCCTCCTGACCAGGGTACGGATGCCCACCTCGGGGGCAGCTTGTTTTGAGCCTGAGAAGGAGATGAGGGACTTGGGAGAGAGGGAAAACATCTTTGTTTTCCTTTGTGGCTTGTAGTAAACAGGTTTTACTGAAACAGAAACATTTACCAGTGTGTTTTCACGTATTTACTGATAGTTATTGCATTTATTTATTGACCAGACCCTTGGCTCTTAACTGAAATACAAAATGAATAACACCAATATTTCCTTCCTCTCCCCAACAAATACCAGCCACTCTCCCCCAACAACCCCAGTATATCCCCATGTAACTCCCTGTCACCCTCACCTCTCTTTTTATTTGATGTTACCCCAGGAGGTTCCCAGCGAGATTACGCTAATTACTACCAAGGCATGTGGGACTGCAGCAGCGAGCATCCCGACGAGCTCTCCTTCCACCGCGGAGACCTCATCTACATCCTGAGCAAGGTAAGAGCATCGGTGCCAGCCCCACATTCACCCTCGTGGGTCTGGGGCTCAATTGTAAGGTGAAGAACTGGTGAAATTGGTAAAAATCAAGGTCCAAAGAAGAGTTAAATTAGCAATTTAGTGAAGGGGAGCGGGATGGCTGAGTCCGGTTCCTCTCTGTGACCACCCCCACTCCCTGCCCACACTCCCTGCCTTCACACGTGACATTTTAAATGCCCCAAAGCATGATTCCTTTATTTTTAGTTTGGTTTTTTTTTCCCAGTAATGGAGTCTGTACGTGCTGTTGCTCAGGTATTACAGGGGTAATTGAGTTGCTCAACCGGGTGTGACCAAGGCTCCCTTTGGCAAAAGCAGGCAGGTGAATAAATTAAGTGTTTACCTTTAGTGGGTCTGGGGGGGCAAAAAGCAGAGCCACCGGTGCCTTTGACCCTCTCCTACCCTGCTTGTCCCCGCGGCGCTCCATCCTGCCTCTCAGCCGGTCCCCGCCGGATCATGGTGGCCCCATCTGGCAGCGATGAGCTGGAGCGATTGCATTTTTGGGGTGATGCAATGCACTTTTCACCCCATTCTGGCAGAAGAACAGCGATGAACTCGGTGGTTGTACCCCATCAGCGGGCACCCACCTGGGGAAGGTCAAGCAGACCCAATGTGGGAAGGGCGGTGTATGCAGTGGTGGCGTAACTGGACCCTTGGAGATGAATATTACCTCCAAGTCTCAGGCTTATTGAGACCAAGGCCAGGTTTTAGAGCTGAGAAAAAGAATCAGGTTTAGTTTGGTATCCTGGTGATGGCCCCAGGGTGGACATGGGTGGTTGGATGCTGCGGTGATGGGCAGGAGAGCGGCGGTGGCAGTGTCAGGCCCTCGGAGGTTCCATCCATCAAAGCCCTCGAGGGCCCATGCAGCAGGGCCGGGGCAGCAGCTTGCCCCGGTGGGCTCCAGGGCAGGCACCGCTGGTGCCACAGCAGCCCCCAGCCCGGCGTGGGCACATCCCCCTCC